GGGGGGTGGAGGGGGAAGACAGGAGGGAGGGGGGTGGCCCCGTGCCGTACCTGTCATGGGAGTCCCCAAACCCTCTCTCCCGTTCTGTTTCTTTATTCAGTACCTCCTTTTAAGTCCTTTACCAGGCCATTTATCTGGTCACTGGCTGCCCTCCCTATGGAGTACCTGCACTGAATATCCAGCCAATATTACAAAATAAGTTGTGACATATGGCCTACCTCCTTTTCTATCCACCAGAAAAGGTCCATCCTCACACCCGCTGTGAGGAAGGCAAAATATCCACACTCCACCGCAGCCAATTCTGGTGGTGTGGGAAAAATTCCTTCCCAGCCCCCCTTTAAAAGGGGTGACTAGTGTAATGCCCACAGCAGGTCCAAACCCAGCCTGCCATTCACCTCCAGGGAGGGTGGGTGCTGGCTTCTTTGCTGCTTTCACATACCGACTTGCCCCACCCAAGTTTCGTACCTTTATGCGCATTCCTGGGGGGGGGGGGTGAGTCATTGCTGCAAAGTTGACCACTGAGCACCTTTTGCAGCAGTTTCTGACCTTCTTCCTCTCTCCCCATCCCACCCTCAACGACAAAGCAGAGCTGTCCTTCTTTGGGTAAGCCCACACAAATTCTGACCCACCTTTAGTTGGGGTGCAGTCATTTAGAAACTGCCAAGTGACTTGGCAGCAGCAACACTGCTCCACCAATATAGGCCTAACCCTAGTTCCTAGACTTTAAATGGGAAATTGTGAGGTGAATATACATATACATACGCAAGATATAGTGGCCTTGACACCATGTGCATTTTAAGAAGTTATTAAAAGATACTACATTGTATGTTATTAACCAAATAAACTGCAGATTTTTAATTGAATGCCTCACACATTACAAATACCTTTTGCAAAAATCTTTAAAACACATTCAACATTTATGAACTACATTGTACAGTAAGTAATAGTAAACTGGAGGTCAAGAGAACTGGATTTCAATGAAGTGCTTAAAGCTACAGCTACTCAACTCTTTACAAAAGACCACTGAACAACTAGACAACTTTGGATTAGTTACTGAGCCAAATTCTTATCTTTCCTCAAGAAGGGATTTCAGGTGTGGATCTGGTACTTTAATTCATTTCAGTGTTATGACAAAATATATACTATATAATCAAGGCTGTATGAGTGTAGGCATATGCTGTGCTTCCATCAGTACTCAGGTGGTAATCATTGTAATTCAGCAATAAAAACACATAAAAATGGCCTTTAACAGAATGTCTTAGATGTTTCATATATGGGACTTGACCTTCAAGTCCTGGAAGCATGTACAGCAGGAAGCAGAAGAACCTTCTGCTCCTGTGAAAACAAGAGTGGAGACTAAGCATGGGTACTAGGACCAAAAAAGGGGGCATGACTTCCAGGGCTGTTAAGCAACAACAATTTCCATAGACTTCTATAGGAGTTGTGGATATCAGAACTCTTATTTAGGTTCCAAAATCTGACTTTCAGTGTCAAAATATTTGAGTTTGAAATTTCTGACTTAGGTATAGTCCTTCTCACTAAGTCTCAAGATTCATGCACACTCACTTTTAACTCTGTTCTTCAGAGCAGAAAACAGAAAAGAGGCATGTTTGAAGGGACAAGTGTGATGAAATGTAAATGAACAACATACCTATCTGCTCCTGTCTTTGGCATATGCCTGCTATTAGCCAGAGGAAGTTGACCGGTCACGTGAGTTCTGGTGCGTGGCCAGTTTCTCTTGTGCACCCAGTCATGCTAAGTAATTTTTTGCCTTATGTTTACATATACAACACTTTGCACCTGTGCTGTGCTACATCAAGCCTTTACTCTATCACCAGTAATAGTAAACTGTATTTGATATGACATGTGGTGGAAACAGATCTGGCTCCAGGTTTTCTGCCGCCCCAAGCGGCTGGGGAAAAAAAAAAAGAAACCCATCGGCGGCAGGTCAATTGCGCCGCTCTATTCTTTGGCGGCCATTCGGTGGCAGGTCCTTCACTCTCTCTCTTCCTCTTCGGCGGCAGCTCAAAGAGGAAGAGAAGGACTGAGGGACCTGCCGCTGAATTCCCGCTGAAGACCCAGACGTGCCGCCCCAGTAGCGGACGGAGTGCCGCCCCTTTCTATTGGCCGCCCCAAGCACCTGCTTCCTTAGCTGGTGCCTGGAGCCGGCCCTGAGTGGAAAAAAGTATCAATCTTTGAATCAGGCATGCAACATTCAACAGCCAACAAGGAACTAGAACTTCATAGAAAACTAAAGATGCCTCTGGCCAGCAAGTCCAAATCTTCAAAATGTCTGCGTTTCCTTCCAATATATTTGTATGTAGTACAGTAAATTCAAGTACTTAGTTCCTACCTTTATTTTAAGTCAACTGTTTGTCTCAGAGAAGTTGATTTTTTTTCTCTTAAATTTCCACAGTAATAGCCAACATCAAGACAAGTGACTGTTCGTAAAAAATGAAAAACCTTTACTTACTTGCTACCTCCAGCGATGCATTATGACTCACAGCTTCACCAAGGTAATTCCGTGCAACACAGACATAGACTCCTTCATCTGGTCTACTTTTGCGTCCATGTACTATGCGTAAGAAAAATAAAGATCCGCTGGGCAGCAACATCCGATGGGAGCGAGGGTCATCTTTGTCAGTTTCAACTCTTTCACCCCCTTTATACCACTCAATAGTTGGGGTTGGCCTGCCTTCAGCCTTACAGTTCAAAGTTGCTGGTTCTCCTTTTGAAACAATTAGATCAGAAGGGTGCTCAACAATTCGAGGTGGGAAATCTTCTTGACGGAGACGGGAGCCTATAAGATAAAGAAACCAAAGTTTTCTTATTGGATCATGATTATACACAGTCACTGAATGGAACCCAGCATTTTGTAATATGATAATTTGACTTAATCCACAGTATCCGGATATTATAGTAAAGATGGCTATGAATAACTCAAATTTAGATCAAATTTTTATGGATTTCAGTATGCAAGTGCTTTCTTATAAATGAGCAAATTAAGGCGGCATTGGTCAAATAATCTTCTGATATTTTATTCATTTAATGAAACAACTAAGTTATTAACTCAGATCTACTGTTTTACAGTACAAAGATGAAAAACCTTTTACCAAGGCTCCCCTGGTATCTGTCGAGTTGTGCTGCTCTGGGCATGTGAAGGAGATTTGAAGCTGGCCTGACTGGCAAACTGGAGACTCCTCTGGTTTATGCAAGGGTATGAGAGTGTGACATTTACTGACCTCAAAGTTACTTTCTTTTACTTGTATTGTAAACTGCTTTGGACACTGACTAGGCAGTGCACTGGGAGCATGAGAAACTGGATTGTCATGGAATGAAAATACCTCTCAAAAACTTTCTATCCCAGGAAAACTACAGAGAAGATAATATCAGTAAGGACTATACTGCAACCCATTACAGTACTGGAGTGTTTATTCCCTCATTCTCTATATCACTCAGCCTGGGAACTCTTCCACCATCTGGCCCAAAAGAATTGAAAGTTGTGAACTAACAAGCTCCTCTTATAGAGGATAGCATAATTCAGAATCTCATTGCACATGCTCATATGGCCAGGAGCAATCATAACCACCTGTTTGATGGGTATATACCACAGGAGAACAGGACAACATACTTTAGAGAGCCCTACATAACATTCATTTACGAACCATCCTACAGTATAGATGTAAGACTATAAAGGTTTCCAGATTTTTAAATTCATGACTGCATTCCCCTCCTCACAATTGTCTTTATTTCTCTCTTTCTTGATATACAACTTTACCACAGTGAAAATTAGCCTCTGGGGTTAATAATTCTTGATAATTAAAATTTAAAATGTCAAAATTCTCTATTAGAGTATTAATGTGTGTTTTGAATGGCTATGAAACACAATATATAGAAATATGTGATGTATTCCCCACCAGTTACAAGACCATGAAAGTGGTGTGGAAAATTAGAACAGGAGGATCCCAGAGAGAGTGCTGCTTTCAATGTAAACACAGAAATAACTGTAAAATGCAGAATTCACATGTAATGTTTATTTCACACTCTCCTCACCTCAGGCCAATTAGTGTAAATTAAATTTCACACTAATCAGCCAGCAGTTAGTGCACAATCCAAGACTGGGACGTTGGCTGGCTACATTAAAAATAGATTTGCACTCTTTATGCAATGCAAGAAGATAGTTTTGTATGAACTCTTGCAATCAATAAATACATATCAACTCAACCACCAATCAAAAGTGCTTTGTGGTCCTTTGATGAATGGCACCATAGTATGTTCATACAGAACATATTTGGAACAGATTTGTATTAGCATTACAAATTAAGAAATTAATTAAAAATATTAAATATAAAAATATGTTGAGCCTAACTATACCAGAAAATTCCAGCTGGATAAAAGGATCTTTAGCTTATTTGCTGATTTCTGCAGCCACTTCATTTCTGTTCCAGAACCAAAGAGCCTCTCAAATCTATGAAACCTCGGCAACAAAAATAAGAACAACATTTATTCTACATATTTTTTACATACAAAGGCTAAGCACAAAAATATGATGAATCTTTAAGGAATGAGAAGGAGAATAGAAGTCAGAAAACCTCTGACTTCTTATCCAGTTTTATCACTGTGTGGCTTTGGACAAGACACTCTAGGAATGTCTACACTGCAATTAGACACATGTGGCTGGCCTGTGCCAGCTGACTCGGGATAACAGGGCTTGGTCTGTGGGGCTGTCTAACCGTGTGGTAGATGTTCAGGCTTGGGCTGGAACCTAGGCTCTAGAAACCTGCAAGGTGGGGGTGTCCCAGAGCCTGGGCTCCAGCCCGAGCGTCTATACCAGGGCTTTAAACTAGGTTCACCAGGGTTTTAAACTAGGTTCATCGGGGGAAGGAGACCAAAGCCCTGAGGTAAGTGGGGAAATGGGATACTGGGAGGAAGTACAAGCAGGAGACTGCAAGAGGGGAGGATTCCTGTCTCAGACTGAGAAAGCGGGACAATTTGCGAGTTATCTTAAGTTCCTATACACAAATGCAAGAAGCCTGGGAAAAAAGCAGGGAGAACTGGAAGTCCTGGCACAGTCAAGGAACTATGATGTGATTGGAATAACAGAGACTTGGTGGGATAACTCACATGACTGGAGTACTGTCATGGATGGATATAAACTGTTCAGGAAGGACAGGCAGGGCAGTAAAAGGTGGGGGAGTTGCATTGTATGCAAGAGGAGTATGACTGCTCAGAGCTCCGGTATGAAACTGCAGAAAAACCTGGGAGTCTCTGGATTAAGTTTAGAAGTGTGAGCAACAAGGGTGATGTCGTCGTGGGAGTCTGCTATAGACCACCAGACCAGGGGGATGAGATGGATGAGGCTTTCTTCCAGCAACTAGCAGAAGTTACTAGATCGCAGTCCCTGGTTCTCATGGGAGACTTTAATCATCCTGATATCTGCTGGGAGAGCAATACAGCGGTGCACAGACAATCCAGGCAGTTTTTTGGAAAGTGTAGGAGATAATTTCCTGGTGTAAGTGCTGGAGGAACCAACTAGGGGCAGAGCTCTTCTAGACTTGCTGCTCAGAAACCGGGAAGAATTAGTAGGGAAGCAAAAGTGGATGGGAACCTGGGAGGAAGTGACCATGAGATGATTGAGTTCAGGATCCTGACACAAGGAAGAAAGGAGCAGCAGAATACGGACCCTGGACTTCAGAAAAGCAGACTTTGACTCCCTCAGGGAACTGATGGGCAGGATCCCAGGAGAGCTGGCTGTATTTTAAAGAATCCTTATTGAGATTGCAGGAACAAACCATCCCAATGTGTAGAAAGAATAGTAAATATGGCAGGTGACCAGCTTGGTTTAACAGTGAAATCCTTTCTGATTGTAAACACAAAAAGGAAGCTTGCAAGAAGTGGAAGATTGGACAAATGACCAGGTAGGAGAATAAAAATATTGCTCAGGCATGCAGGAGTGAAATCAGAAAGGCCAAATCACACTTGGAGTTTCAGCTAGTAAGAGATGTTAAGAGTAACAAGAATGGTTTCTTCAGGTATGTTAGCAACAAGAAGAACGTCAAGGAAAGTGTGGGCCCCTTACTAAATGAGGGAGGCAACCTAGTGACAGAGGATGTGGAAAAAGCTAATGTACTCAATGCTTTTTTTACCTCTGTCTTCACAAACAAGGTCAGCTCCCAGACTGCTGCACTGGGCAGCAAAGTATGGGGAGGAGGTGACCAGCCCTCTGTGGAGAAAGAAGTGATACAGAACTATTTAGAAAAACTGGACAAGCACAAGTCCTTGGGGCTGGATGCACTGCATCCGAGGGTGCTAAAGGAGTTGGCGGATGTGATTGCAGAGCCATTGGACATTATCTTTGAAAACCCATGGCAATCGGGGGAGGTCCCGGATGACTGGAAAAAGGCTAATGTAGTGCCCATCTTTAAAAAAAGGAAAAAGGAGGATCCGGGGAACTACAGGCCAATCAGCCTCATCTCAGTCCCTGGAAAAAATCATGGAGCAGGTCCTCAAGGAATCAATTCTGAAGCATTTAGAGGAGAGGAAAGTGATCAGGAACGTGATCAGGAACATTCAGCATGGATTCACCAAGGGCAAGTCATGCCTGACTAACCTAATTGCCTTCTATGAGGAGATAACTGGGTCTGTGGATGAGGGGAAAGCACTGCATGTGTTATTCCTTGACTTTAGCGGTCTCCCACAGTATGCTTGCCGGCAAGTTAAA